GGTGTTTTGGCTGGATGGCAGTTCGTTTGGAAGGATACAACGGAAAAACGGCGCTAATGCAACTAATTAAGGATTTTCTCTGCTAGGTCGCGCCAGTTGGCATTTCCACAGGAAAAGAAACAAATACGTTTCAGAAGAACCGCTCCAACCAACTTTACTCAAAGAAATTACAGCTGTGTCTAATTCACAGGAAAATAATACACTTCTATGTGAAAACATTGCCGACTGTTCCCCTGGCAAGCCAAGGGACACATCCCGTAAGGTGATCTGAATCTCCCATTCCCCATGCTTCAGTTACATACGAAAAACTCCCCCGGGCATCCAGATTTTCCTGATCCTGACATTTGTGCTTAATTTCGTTTGGAGCCACTGTCTCCACCGTTTAGGGAAGCATTCTCTGAATTTTCCTGATTCGGGCAAAGCACAAGAGCCACTGAGCTGTTCCCTGTCTGTTCTGATCTCATAAAATTCCCTGAGACAAACCCCTGCATAAGCCACTTGTCATTGCACTAGATAAACTTCATGCATTTCTAGAGCAAGGGCAGCCTGTTTGCTTTCCTTACTCTCATTGAATTGCATATTTTTCTCAAGTTTCTGGTTTAAAATAAGAAGCTAATGCGATCAGACTGAATTTCAATTACAATATTCAACCACGACTAAATCAGCTGAGACTCTTCCCAAGCAAGGGCCAACAAATGTTTCTGCAGGAGCCTTCAGTTTTTATTAAAATAATCTCTTCTGTTGATTGATATAATCTTTTAAGAATTCCTATTGGACTGCAGTTGAAAACACGGCACCCATCGCCCCGGGTGGAGGGAGAAAACTGCGGTTTGGGTTTTGCAAAATCTAAGCCGAAGGCGGTTGGGATCTTATCTAAACCAAGCAGCTGAGCTGATGGAGCGTGGAGATGTGTGGGTGAGGAGACAAACGCTCCTACTACAAAGCCTCTGGCTCAGAACAGCGACAAACACGCTTATGGTGGATGTCCATAAGATGAGATGAGACACCAAGCGGTGCTTTCAAGGTCTGTGCCTGGTGAGCTGTGCTGCTCGGGGCAGGGATGGAGCAGCAGAGGGGAAGTGCTGACCCACCCAAGTCCTTTGGTGGTCCCATGTGGAGAGGGGAAGCTGTGATTGGGGTCCGGGATGCTGGTCAGTGGGTTTTCATCACGAGCTCTTCCAGCGCCTTCTCCTGCTGATTCCCACAAAGCAGGAGAACTTCCTTGATTTCATTTTGCTGGAAGCCCATATCATTGAACTGAGCTAACAAATGCAAGAACTCAGCTGCCTGGAGGAAGGAAGAGAAAGGAGCGATGTTATCAGGGGGGTTTAAGGATGGATTTATCGTAGAGTTGCAGCAGCAGTAGTGTTGGGTGACGAGGCTGCAGCCAGACGACCTGGCCGGGTTGTGTTACTGCTGAAGGGCACTCCAACAGCAGACCAAGGGCACACATACCACTGCTAGTGTTTAAAAGTGTGCCATTACATCAACTTTTAAAATAAGGAATATTTCATAAAGTCAGCCTCTAGCTTCACTTATTCCTTATAAAGTTTAATATGAAGTCCACGCAAATGTTTGCCTGTGTTATAAAGAGACTGGGGATAGGCAGTGAATAAAAGCTTAAAATTAATCTGTCTTGCTTCCCCCCTTTCTCAGGCTGGGCTCCAGCACCACGACATCTCCTGGAGCTGTGTCCTCAATAAATAACCCCCTGCCTGACATCGAGACCCAGGCACCCTCCTGCTGCCGCAGAGTGGTGAGCCCAGCAACCCTACACGCTGTCAGCATCACGTCAAACACTGCCAGCTCGAATTTTGAGCAGTTCCACCTCCCCAGGCTCTTCATTACCCCCAGGAAGAGACTGATTATGGAGACAACCAGAGTGCCACCACACTTCTTCTCCCTGGGGGGTGAATTTAAAGGGCGAGGTGGGAGGGATGCAGCGAGCGTGGGTGCTGGTGGGCTTGGGGCAGGGGATTTGCCCCACAAGGGCTGAGCGAGCGTCATGCCTGCACGGCGGGGTGAGAGGATGGATGAGAAGAGCAATGGAGCGGGTGTCCTTCCCCGGGGGATCCTCATGGTGATGCTTCCCTGGGGGTCTGCATGGGTGCAGGCTCACTGCTTGCAGGGCAATGGGTCTGGCCTTCCTGGGGACTGTGTGAGGGGTGGAGGAGGTGGATGGGAGCAAGCAGCCCACTGGAAAAGCAACCCTGGAAGATGCAGCACAAAGGGCTGGGCTGTGCCATCCTGCTCTGACCTTTTTCTCCGAGTACTGGAACATTTCCATGGCCTCCTCCACCTGTCCTTCCTCGTAGCCCAGCTTCAGCAGCCGGTCACAGGCACCCAGGTAGCTCAGGAACTGCAGAAGAAGACAACCAGGGTTAATCCAACCTCGCAGACAAGGGGGGTGAGTGCATTCAGGAGCACACCCTGCTACCGTCCAGGGACATGCTCATGGGGAGGACCTGGGGACACCTGTCCTGCTGGCTCCCACCTGATGCTTGGCCAGGGTGCTCTGTCCATCACCAGAACTCCCACCACGAGATGACAAGGTCTTGTCTTTTCCACCATCCCAGGGTGGGAATGGGAACAAGGCAGAGTGAGGACCAGGAGCCAACTAAACATCTGAACCATCTGAGATACAAAGCAACGACCTCCAGGCCAGGGGGTGAAGCACAGCCTATCCTGGTGAGACATCTACCCTCAGCCAACCCGGCTCCCTTTGATGAGCCAGGGTTCGGGCGCCCACGGGTTCACTCCAGGGTCCAAGCACAAAACCCACCCCAAGGGAGACCCATGTGCTGTCATTACTGAAAGTAAACAGTTATTTTTGGCTTTCCTCGTTGTTCTTGGAGTGCTGACAGCACTATTCCCAGTGGTATCTTTTAAATACCACAAGAATCATTCACTGTCCAAAAAACATATGGGACAGACATAAATGCACTATACAAAAGCAGGGGGAATAAAAACATCCATGGGTCTCCCCAAAGCCACGCAGTCTTCACCCAAGGAGAAGCTGACTCAAATCTCCCCACATCCACCAGCGCACAGAGCTCCACCCTCCCCAGCACTGCTGCAGAGAAGGAGGAGGATTCAGTAAAAGACCATTTTTGATTGATCAATGATCACTGATCGGGATGCAACGATGCATTTTTTGTTTAGCCCTTGGCCATGACATCCTAGATGATGAATCTCTGGCATGTTGGGGCAACTAACCCTGCTTGAGCCTTTTACAGAGGTTTTTCCACCTCTGAGAAGGTACTGACTCTGTGAGGCTGCAACTTGCTTTCTCCACCAGGGTGGGCTCTGCCAGTTTGACTTGACACTGCAAAGAAATGGAGCAACTTTTGGCTACCATCTGGTTCTACAATCCATCTTCACGGCTGAAGCGGTCATCGTCACACACTGAACCCCCACGTGACACCAGCAAGTAATGAGGAGCACCCACAGCTCTTCTTTTTAAGTTAAAACGTATTTTCCAGGGAGGTTTAGCCTAATTTGGTAGTTTTGTACTTGTGAGAGACGTGTGAAGGGCTACACCTTACGTTTTATCTTGGCTGTACTGGGCATAAATGGGAAAGATGGGAACTTCTGGTGAAGAAGGCATGGGATATAAAGCAGATTTTGTATCTTGGTGCATTAATCACCTCTCCAAGAGGATGGGAGTCCCTGTCTTCGCACAGAAAGGAGCAGGCTGTACCCATTTCCATCCTCAACAAGATGTGCTGCTCCTTCATATTGAGACAGCAGCTGCTACAAGACACCCTCGCACGCAAAGAGTGTGGGCTGGACTCTGCCCATCTCCCTCTGCCTGGATGAAACCTTCATGAATTGAAGAAATAAAGCTTCCCCTCCCACCTTGGCCTGCAGTGAGGGTCTGGGGAGGTTGGTCCAGCCGGAGGTGACTCAGGAGGGAGCCAGAAGCTGCAGGATGACTCAGCCGCAGAGCAGCTCCGTGTGTCGACCAGAAGGGCAAGAGCTGGCCCACACAGCACAGGCAGCTCTCTGGGCTATCAGGAAGGAGACCGGCACCCGACAGAGGCTGCTTGGTACCACACCTGCTCACATGGGGTCTGCTCCTGCTCCCTGGCACAACATCCCTATGGCTAAGCTGCGATCAAGCCCCTTCTCTCTCTGCAAGAGCTTACTTGGATAATTTAGCCCTACCAAATCCTCCATTGGGATGGGCAGGTCCAGCCCCAAGCTTGCCAAGCAAGAGGGTCAGAGCCAGCACCATCCCTTGTGGCATGGATGCTCCACGAAGGGTTCATCTGGACAGAGACCTCAGGCATCGGGATTCAGCACTGCAGGATTCAGTACTGTGATGTACTCAGATACCAGGGGCAGGAAGAGCTTGTATGTTAATTATTTTCAATAAATTCCAGGTTATTATAGAGAGTTCTGCAGGAAAAGAGCTCCAGGGCCCAGACACAATGCATGCATGGAGTCCCTGGTTGCTCCAATGTGAGGAGCGTGTGTTTTGGAGAGAACCCAGGCAAATCTCCGAGGTATTCGTACAGTCCTGCTCTGACAGAATGAGCCATGGCAATAGTCACACAAATCTAACAGCCAGGAAAAAACCATGTGCAAAAATTTTCCATATACGGGGGCAAAATTCATACTTCAAAAGGACACCATGCTCCATACAACAGATTGAACAGATAACGTTACCCAGCCGTTATTACTCGCTGAAAAGCTGTGGGCGACTCATTGCTATTTTCCTACAGCAACAGTACAGGCGTGTGATCTCATGGAAAACCCTGTCAACTGAGGTCTGGTACCAAAGTGAGAAACCCAAGGCCATCAGAAGTCCACACCAAGAGAGACAGCCATCCCTTTCAGCATGAAAATCAAGTTTTTCTTTAGCAAAAGCTTTATGCAGTGCCATGCCAGCTCCACCAACCTGACTTAAGCTTTGCCTTCCAGTCTTCTGGAGGGTGAGGATGGCTTTGCGGGTCGGGTAGCCCAGGGCTATCACGGGCTCGATGAGGTCTCGCTCCTCCTGGCTCAGCGCCGAGAGCAGGTCAGCTGCTGAATCCGGCTGGGATCTGTGGGAACTGAGAGGTCGCGCAGGCGTGGAGGCAGGGGGAAGGCAGGCGTAGGGGCTGAGGGACTGCAAGAGAAAACAGCAGATGGGCTTCTGGAATGATGTTAAACCACCCAGGCTGAAGCAACGCTTTCAAATGCTGGCAATACCTTGCTCTTTCCAGAAGAAGAAAATTCCCACATGAAGAACAAACTCCCTTGGGTTTCAAAGGAGACTGGACTTAATTAAATCCAGGCTCAGCTACAGCTACAGATCAAAGAAAACAGCGCTCAGGAGGGTTCATTGGGAAAAGCGAGCAAAAGCAGCTCCTTTCCCTGGGAATCCCAGTCACATTTCCAGCAATAAATGCCATCCTTGACCGGCCAAGCGAGAGGCAGCGCTGCCCGTGGGCAGATGATGCAGCAGCCATGGCAGAAGGATGCTCCCCTGATGCCCTGTTTATGCCCGTGATGTTGATCAGCTGTATTTAGGTTTCTCCTACAAAGCCATCTCCAGAAATGGCCTTGCATGTAGAAACACTCACTGGAGTAACAGCAGCCAAGCAGGGCGGGCAATGGGTTAATAATTTGTTGCAACAGCTGTTTAGTGTATAAATACACATGGGCATTTAATCTTTCCTTAATTACCCTATGTTTAATGCAGCTACATATAAATAACCTGGCCTTTAATGTGTCCGATGGTTTTAATTGTGGGTTTCCAGTAATTTGTCTGTCTCAAGTAGCTGGATGAGATGTCAGTTCTTAAAAAAATCCCGGTGGAATTCAGATTTCAGGTGACAAAGCAATATTTACTGTCTCTATCTCGATGTGATTGGTATTTCTAGTAGGACTATGAAGCCCAAAGTTTCCTAGAAAAGACAGGGGGCATTTCCCCAAAAACTCTGTTTACATCTGTTAGAGAGGGGAAAAATGGAATGGAGAAAGGGAAAAAAACTTATTTCACTTTCTTTTCTTAGGGTTTCAATTGAAAATTAAGTAAGGTGCCCTTCTTGTCAGGCAGAACAGAGATGTTTTGGTTAGGACAGAGCAAGTAAACGTCCTCCCAGAAAGCTTGTCTTTAAACCCTGTCAAAAAAAACCCCTTCCTTTGCTTCTTATGAAAACTTGTCAGCAATTTCTCATGGGTTCAGTGTTCCCAAAGCCCCATTTTAATTCCACTTTGTTGGCCAGACCCCAGCAAACAGCACCAATTCGACCCCTTCCACCTTCCTCCCATCTCAGTAACAAGCAAAGTGCTATGAGAAGAAAACACCTTACCGGCACCGTGGGCTTATGCCGTTTGATCGGGGGGATCGGCGCAGCTGGAGGAGCTGGCACCAAGGCCCCCAGGTGGGACACGTTTGGGGCTGGCCCGTACTTGATGCTGCGGCTGGTGTGGGGGCGCTGGGGGAGCGGCTGCGGCACCTGGACCCCTCTATTCTCCGTGGCAGCTCTGTTCAAAGGATGCACCAAAGATGCCAGCTTCCTCCTGGCCGCTCCCAGCTCGTTCTTCATGTTGTTAAATATCACCATGGATCTTCTCTGCTTGCTTGGGTCCGGGATGGCTGCCTTGTGGTTGTTTTTCTCCGGAGAGGGCTCCAGCAAGCCAGGTGATGTCTTTGGCCGAGTCTGGTAAAAGCTGGGGTGCAGAATCACACTTCTCCCAGTGTTTCTCCTCCTGGAAAGCTTTTCATCCTTGTCATTCTCTTCCCAGGAGGTCGAGGAGTACTCGTCGTCCTCCGAGTACTCGTCCTCCTCTGAGAGCCAGGTCTCGCTCTCGGTGTCGGACAAGGCACCTCTACCCTTGGTGTGCCCGTAGCTGTCGTCGGCAGCACTGAGGCTGACGCAGCGTCGCACCGCCCCGTCCCGCGCTCTGCCCCCGTAGCTGTCAGCAGGGTCCACCAGCAGCAGCCAGCACGGTGGAGCCGTGGGGACGATTTCGGAGGTGATGCGATGGCGGGAGGTTTGCTGCTGAGAGGCCACCTCGACCCAGTAAAGCACTTTCCTTTCCAGCGAGAAGTCGTGCTGTGGAAGAGCGAGAAGGAGCTGGTGAGGGCATTTGAAACCAGACCACGTGGCACCGAGCAAACCAAGCGCTTCATGAGAGCACCTTAAGGGTGTGAGAGACTGAAAGAGTTAATGACGTACAAAGGGCTGCATCCTTCCCATATCAGCTCCTATTTCCCCAAAAACCAGGACTGGCTGTGGGCACCAGGGCTATAGATTGGGCAGCCTCATCCCTATAGGGGATCCCTAAATTTATACTTGACAAAAATCTGGCTATGAAGTTATTACTATTTTGAGTCACATCTACAATTCTTTTGAGAGGTGTATTATTCTCAGAGGTGGTTTTGTGTCAGTTTGGCTGCTGTGGAAGGGGACAGCACCCTCAGGGGCACTTGGCAGAGCCACATTGGGTACAGGGGCTCAGGAGACACTGAGGGGGGAGATGCCATCTTGGGCAGAGGCAGGACCGTGTGCAGGAGTCTCCAGTGGCGCCAGGGACTCGGTCACTCCCAGAACAGACTCATCATTTCCACATAGTCCAGCTTAAAATATAAGCATGTTGAAGACTGAAATCTGAGGGTTTTCCTGGAACAAACAAGCCTTGGCCATCCCAGAGCTCTCCAAACAAGGTCTCCTCTGGACAGGCAGGGAAGTACATTCACAGCCCAAGAATGCTGTTTTTACTGCTCCCTGCCACTTGCCAGCCATGAACCCAAACCAGCCTCGCTGAGGAAAACACCACTGCGAGCCTTGACAAGGGTCAGTCCAGATCACCAGTGTAACCATTCAGTATTGGCGGGGAGCACCGAAATGCCCCCAGCCAGGGAGAAACCTGGGGCTGGGATTTTTCCCAGGGGAGGACGGGGTGGTAGAACACCTCAGCTGGCCCATGGGGATGTGCACCTTCACCTCCACCTGCCTTAAGCTGTACATTAAAATTTCCTTTGGAGGAATCCCTTAAAATGAACATCACGGCAACTCTTCACGTTAAACACATCCTGGGGATTTGGGATGTGTCATTTCTGGGAGGAGAGATAAGCAAGGCTGAGCTAGGGAAAAGCCAGATGTGGAGTTTATCCATCACCAGGAGGGAGCAGGGTTTATTTGGGATTGCCCACATCACCTTCCCCTTGTGAAGTGCACTGACCCCATCTACAAGTGACACTACTTAAGGCTGAACATACAAAATATTTATGAAATCATCTTTGACTGGAGCTGTGCTAGCACCACCCATCAGCCCAGAGAGCCAACTCCATGCCTTCAGTGGAAGTGAACAAGGAACGGTCTCCCACTCCCTTCCAGAGCACAGAGAGCTCCTTCGAATTGCTTAAAATTGGTGACAAAGCTGTTACAGCAATAGGTGTAGATTCAAAAGCAGTTTTAGGACTGAGCAATGTGGAAGATCACAAAGTGCCACAGGCTATTTAATTTATACATATATATTTATGTATACACAGATATTATATATATGTTTCCAGCACATGTAGTGTTGCCTGCTTACCTTTTCATTAGATTTACTAATAAGTATTTAATACATACTAATAATACCTGAAACTGTGATGATTCCAGAGTAGAAAACAATACCAAAGCAGAGTCTGAAGTTTGTCCTCCCATCCCAAAAAGATCCAACCCTCCTGCTTGGATGGGATTAAAAAAAACCAATGCCAAACCTGCCCCTTCCTCACTCTCACCCATCACCAATTGCCCTCACCTCCTCCCACTCCTGCAAAGCAGCCAATTAAGAGGAGGCCAATTAGGAGGAGAGGCTTCCCTTCCCTTCTTTCACAAGGCAAACATCCTTTGGAGCATCCCTCTTGGAACATCCTCCCAGAAGTGAATCGGAGCATGGACACAAGCAGACAGGACTCACCACGGTGCTCATGAGGATGTCGGCGCAGTCGGGGAGCTCGATGGCCGGGGTGGTGATTAAAGTGTTTTCTCCTCCCGAGTCTCCATCGAGGCTCCTGGCCGTTCGGAAGGGAACTTCATCCAGGTAGCTCATTGCCGATGCCTGATTTCTTGCTGTTGGGAGAAGGGATGAGACAAAACTGTAAAAGGCAGGACTGACACCGTTTAAATTGGGTGGAAGGAGAGAAAGATGAGCTATTTGAAGTCATGCCGGTAAATGGAATGCAGCCTTTAGACACTGCCAGCCAACTAAAAACCACCGTGTGCAATGTCCAGATTTACAAACTCTTAATTACTGATACTGGGAAGATTTGTCTGAACTAACCTTTGCTACTCCGAGCTTGAGCCAGCAGGACCTGACCAAGCTTACAGCTTCATTTGGCAGAAATCCCGAGTGTTTTTCTCCCCTGTTTCCACCTCTGTGCACGTCCTGCAGCTTTCCATCCCTCCTCCTGTCTCTCCCTCTCACTCCACTGCCCATCACACACTCCCTTTCCCAAACCAGGGACAGACTGAGCACTTTTTCCAGTTACAGAGGGAGAAACTTCAGCCAAAGAGGACACCTTGCAGGTCTCCTCTCTCTGCATGACCTGAGAGATGATGACCCACACGTATGCGACCACGTGCTGCAAAGCCATCACACGGAGCAGCCCAGGGCAGCTGGGGTGAGGGCATCCCCTCCAGCATCACAGCAGCTTACCGAGAGTCAGACAAGGAGGCTGGGGCACCATGCAAGCTGCACTGTTAAAGCGATGTCGAATGAGTCATTTTAAGGCCAGATTAGCTTTTAAGAACCATCCATTCATTTTAAGTGTGGTGATGTTTTTAGATCAGGCATAGCAGGGGAGAGAAAAATTCCTGATGAACTGGGAAGGGTGGCATGGAAAATAGTACTGCAGGAGTGTAGCCATCAGCTCTGTGTGGATGTCTCAATTTAGTAAAAAGCCGCTGCTTGCTGCATGAAGCCTCAAGTTTCCAGCTTCCCAGTAACAACAGCATGCAAAATAATTTCCTTTCTATATTGTCAACTGGCAAAAGCTGCTCGTCAGTCTTGCACTGAATTCTGGTACCTATAGCTTGCGCCTCTTCATCCCAGAGTTCTCCACAGTCATCCTCCAAACAGTGAATACCTGGTGTGACATCCCTAAGTGCTTTTACCAGCTTCGGTTTATTCCTTTTAAAAAGAAATGGCTTCTAGGACAATGAGGATGAACACTTCACAAAAAGAAAATAGGCAGACAAATGTATCAAGGAAAGGCAAAAATAAGGGTCTATAATGGGAAATGGCATTCAACATAACTTCTTATGTTAGCAAAGGACTAATAAACTGCATTTAGACCCTAAATGAAGAGCAGCACGCACGATTGCTCGGTGCAACCCAGTTGCTCTTACCAGAACTACAAAAGAGCTGTCACTCACCTGCTTACGCCAGCAGCCGTTAATACCCAGGGCCATAGCACAAGCAGAGCCCCTAACCAGCTTTGCAGCTCCCACACACGTGCTGCCACTAACACGCGATACACACAACGTGTCAGGAGCCTGCCTGGGGCCAGGCCATCTGCTCCCCAGCCTAAGAGGGCTCAGCCTAAGTCACAACCCACGTCAGCGCTGACAGAGACGACGTGTGAAAACATCTGGGAGTGAAGCCACCTTCCCCCGGCCGTTTCCAACTCCTCGGCACAGCCAAGCAGCCCCTGCCTGCAAGAGGAACGGAGTCCACTTGCAGCTTATGCTGTAAATCAGCTCTTCCCAAAAGCTTTGCGGTATAAAAGTGCAAAGGAAATGAGCAAATCATCGTCCATCACCTTGAATGGCTTTACTTCAATGGTTCCATCCCAGTTTAAGGATGGAGATGGGGAGTGATTGTGTCCGAAGCCACAATGAAGAAAATGGAGAGAGATGACAGAACCAAATCTCACTGCATAAATACTGTGCTCTGAGAAAGGCTCCCGCAAGTGTTAATTCCCAAAACCACCATTTAGCAAAAAAAGCAGCACATTGGGGTGAGGAGCAATGATAATAAAAACACTACCAGACCAGAATAAAAGAGGGTCAGCGGTCAACACCAGTTCACACCAGAAAGCAGCTCCAAAAAGGCTTCTGACCGCATCCGCTCCACGCCAGCCCTCCCCACTTTCACACCAAAGACACAGCCTGGCAAACAAACAAATCTGCATCAGGAGGAGGATGTGCCTTAAAACCCTGCAAAACATGAACTGCATCAGGACCAGGGAAGGAACAGGTTGCAAATAAGGCACAGAAACTCATACATAGCCAACCCCTCTTTTCTTCTGGGTTACAGTATTTTTTAAAAACTTAAAAATAGTATGGAATACTATGCTCAAATAATTTTAACCCTAAATCTGAATACACAAGGGTTTTTTTAAGAATTGATACCCTGTCTCCATGTATTTTATGAGTTAAGATTTTAAACATTCCTCTTCCATCTGCGGCTTTCAACTTCCTCACTAAAAACACAGAACATTTCAATGCAGATGTCATTAGACAAGAGGAAATACGTAGAACAAATCACAGAAAGCTTCAAGGATTGAAATATAATTAAATGTCCAGCATCTGCTGGCATTTTCACGTCCTATTTTGATGAACAATATGAAGTTATTCCTTACCCTCAGACGAAATCATGGAGCCTTCCTCACAGGACAGGGAGAACAGGGTTGCTTCTACACTGCCCGCTTATCTACCGCTCTGTTCTGTAAACTCCTGCAGCGTCAGACAAGCATCTGACTTTGACAGGTTTAAGATTAAGGTAGCTTAAGCAGTTTGCCTGTCCCATCAGACACGCTGACGAGATAAGGAGCCTAATTACGCAGAGCATCCTCGGGTCACTAAGCTTCCTGAACCAAAAGCGGTGTTTCTGCAATTGTTTATATGCTATTTGAACTTTTGGCTTATTCATCAGGTAAGGAAGACCTGACCCAGCCACAGGTCTTGGTGAAATGAGATGCTAGGAGGATGTACAGACGCGCAAATCAGAACGCCTGCCTCCAGAGGACTTCATGGTAATCTGTATTTTGGGGTGCTATAGGTAGGCAGTATAGACATGAGCAAGAACTGCAAACTTCTGCACCCAGATTAATGCCAACTCTGCCAAAAATTACACCTCACCTTGGAGGAGGGAGAAGTTCCTTCACACAAACTTTTTGCCAGCAATTCCCTCCACACTGGAGTCACATTTGATGCCAAGTACTAGAACAAATATCTCCCTTGGAGTAAAAAGGCTGCAGACAAAAAAAAATTCGTTTTTCTTTATTTACTCTGTACAAAAAACCAACTGACAAAATAGAGCTGCATTTTTAAATCAAATACTATATACACGATCTGTTCCTGTACAAAAATAGCTATATAGGCAAAAACAATTACAGAAGGTTAGACTTCAGATTTTATTGGATTTTTTTCTCAGCAGGCTTACTCATCAAATTTCCATATATTCACACGGCTGTCTGACCTATTTCACCAAAACCAGGAATTTTTTCCATGTTGTGGTACCCCTTTTAGCCCACAAAAGTAAAATGTCAACAGCTGCTTCAATCAACCTTGAAAAACCCGGTCTTGTTTGTACTTCAGAATTTGTTTAAACTTGCAATAGGTTCGTTTCTACAGACAAAAATACAGGAATTATTTTGACAGCGATGCTTGACATGCTTCATTTAAGAAGAAAAACATGTTTACTAATGATGTCTCCTTTTTTTTGAACTCCTTTACTTCTGGAGATTTCATCATCTGGATTTAGGCTTATAAAGACAAAAGCCACTAAAAATAGGATGTTAATACTGGCACAGATATCACCAGCAGCAGTAATTCTTTATTAAGGTTGAGATTTGTTAACACAAACTCGCTGTGGGATTGTAATTCCACACCACAAGAGGCCCAGCAGCTTTGGGCTTGCTCAGACATTTCCCTGCAGTCAGATGGCCAAAACATTTCTTAGACTTTTCTTCAAGACATCGCAGTACCTGGCTACCGAAACAGAGCACGAGACTTCCTCTTCAGAGCCTGAAACATTCCTCCAACGTTAACATAACTCATTACTGCATTATCTGACAGCCGTGGCCCAAGTGTCATTTGTGGGGAGACTCGGCAGAACCCATCCTGGAGGGATGCAGCTTCCCTCAGGGTGATCGGCTGGCACCAGGTACTGATCCCATTCGTGCCTTGAACAGAGAAAGCATCGTTTGAGAGGAGAGTTGGTAGGAGTTTGGTAATAAGATCTATTATATCCCACATTATGTACTTTTTCCATGCTGATCAATGCCCAAACCACTGTAAATCGTACTCTGAAACTTGCTTTTCAAAACACAAATGTGAAAATTATATGTACTGTTATATTAAACAGAATGGTTATGCATGAAAGCGAGCTCTGCTTCACAAGGGCATCTGTCGTATACAACTCTATCAAGCTGCAAGCTTGATCCTTGGATGAAAAATCCAGAATCCATTGCATAACCGTATTAGCAAGTCTGCAAACAAAAAAGACTATAATTTTGCAATCTTAACAAAGAGTACTTGTCACCTTTGATAATAAAATAAAGCCTTTGTTGGGTTTTACCTGATCTGAATTAGAGCTGCTACGGAATGCTCAGCTTGTAAGTAATACTCTCTGAAGGGCTGCAATAGATGGGCTAGAGGAAATTCATCTGTAAAAAACAAACACAGAAATCATTCAATAAATCAGAGATGGTTTTGATTCTAGAAAGTCTTAGAAGCCCCAAATTTGCCATGTCATTTGCTACTCCCCAGCTATAACTTGAAATCACTTCTCTGTATAATATATTCAGGACTATATATATGTCTTGCATGTCTCCTCCTCCTTATCAGAGCTGTCAGAAGAAAGGCAAGACGAGCAAAACTTTTCCTGCCTCCATGCTCTAAACAAGGGGAACACAATCCTTACAGATTACTCAAATCACACTACCAAACCACCAGCCTAAAGCATCTGTTGCTGCTGGAAGTCTTCAATCTTTTCTGTTTATTCTCACTTCAGCTTAATCTACAACCTTTTCTTGCAACACATTACGAAATCAGCTTGAGATGTCAAGATTTTGAGACTGCAGCCTACGCTGAAGAGTTAACACT